ACCAGAAAGAGAAAGAAAGACTATATGTCTCCCATACTGGCTCCTATTCAGCGGCTTTCTTTAAATCCAGAGTAAATTTTAAAATGCTTCTCTCCAAATAGAAGGTCTTGAATAATCAGGCCAAGACCTCAAAGTGGCATATCACCCTAATAGAGCACTTAGTTTGAAATGGAGAGACCATACCTTATTGGAAAAGATAGAGAAAAGTAACCATCACAACACAACTTCACTACAACCTTGAAAGTACCTCGTTCTGACTTTATTAGATAGTGATGTGAAGCAGGCGCCTGCTCATCCTGGTGAGCTAAGCCACCGCTATGAAAATACTATGTTTAACCTAAGTTTATGCACACACATTTAAACACGTGCATAGAGAAGCTGTTGATTTACCAATCAATCTACGTTTCATTCTCACCCATGGTCACAAAAGAATAGGCTTTAAATACAAGTGACAGATTAGTTTCCTTGGGAAAAAAAATCAAGTTAAGGCGATTCGGTCATCTGACCAGGATGACTCCTGGATCACTTCCAGTTGAGGTGTTTCAGACATGTCTTACCAGGAGGAGTCCCTGCTCATTCGTCCATCAGATGGATGGACCATTTTTCACAAACATATATCTTGAAAATGATTGGATATGTGAAACAATTTACAGCAATATATAATAATATGTCCAAACTTTGGACCATAAGATTTTTGTGCAAACCAGAGATGGTCGAGCAGAAGGCCCACAATAACTTGAGACTGAATGACCTGTGTGTCAAATAATAAAAACAGACCCTTAAAATCTATTTTGCCGTACACCTTCCCAAAACTGTGTACAGCCACGATGCTGTCAAATATCTTGCTCTACTTTTTTGTTATGTGACTGGTTACAGGGTATATTGAGGAAGCCTGCATCATTCCTTGTCCATCTGACTGCAAACTAAGTGAGTGGTCCAACTGGTCTCGCTGTAGCAAATCATGTGGCAGTGGGGTCAAAGTTCGCTCTAAATGGCTCCGAGAAAAACCATACAATGGTGGCAGACCTTGCCCTAAATTGGACCATGTCAACCAGGTGAGAGAGGGCTCACTTAAAGTGTTATATTCTAGCTTTATACCAATTTTTTTGGATATTAACCTAAATAATGCTGTTTTCTGTTGTTTCCTTGTCTTCTTTTACAAATGGATTCCACTTACAGGCTCAAGTAAGTAGGCTGCTGCTTTTTGTAATTATTTCATAAAGTTAGTTTTGGTATTTAGTTTTATTATAATGTATGATTTTCAAACTTAAGCTAAACTGAGTGGAAGGATTTAAATTTCTTATTTTTTGACACATTTCCTCTTTGACATCATGCAGCTGTGCCTGTAGGGTAACTGGTGTTTTTATGTGCATCAGGTCTATGAGGTGGTGCCTTGCCTCAGCGACTGTGGGCAGTATGTGTGGGTGGCAGAGCCTTGGAGTGTGTGGAAAGTCAGCAATGTGGACCTGAATGACAACTGTGGTGAAGGTGTTCAAACCCGAAACGTCAAGTAAGATGAACAGAATCATGTGTCAGTGTCTCTGATCTTTAGGTAGAGCTTTAAACAGGTGATATTCTTCCTTTTGGAGGAAAAACAGAGCTGAGTGTTTGCTTGTGCTGAATTGTTAAAAAGTGATCAAACAATTAAAATAGTAGTGCATGATGTTATAGAATAGAATAGAATTCAACTTTATTGTCATTGCACATGCACAGGTACAGGGCAACAAAATGCAGTTTGCATCCATCCAGAAGTGCTTTAGCCATGATATAGATATATTACAATATATATTAGCAATAATATAGATATGTAAGTATATTACAGAAATGGGTCTATTATGGTATGTTATAATGTACACGGTATGAAGTATGTTATGAACCAATATATAACCAATATATACACTATATTGCCAAAAGTATTCACTGACCCGTCCAAATCATTGAATAGAATAGAAATATCCTTTGTTGTCCCTCTTTGGGGAAATTCAGGAGTTCCATCAGCAAAGTGACAGGCAGATGGAGCATGCAGATTCACACAAAAGTAACGAAAGTAAAATAAAAAAAAAAAAACAGGGAAATTTACAACATCCAAAAAAAAGATTACCGTACAGTTAGTAAAACTAGCATACTCAAATTCAAAGAAATGTGAAAGTGAGTAAGATAATCCTTTTAAAAATATACAAAAAGTGCTATATATTTGTGCTTTAAAAAACCTGACAAACTGTTTACAGAAAAGCAGGGATGTGAACAACCCTTGTTGGGAACAATCACTGCTCCCAACAACCTATCCGGTCGTTAAGTGATGACGTGACGAATCCTACTTCC